GAGTTCCAGTTACACACTGTCCTCTAAGTGAAATAATTCTTCTGTAAATTCCCTCTAAATTTCCCATTCTTTATCTTAAATCAAGAGTCATACATATCATAGGTATCCCTTTTCCCCATCAACCAAACATGGTATCATGTTCTGTAAAAAGTCAAGTATTATTGGAGAGGGAGTAATAGTTGAGTCACATGTTAAAAGCATTGTGGTAGCTGCCTTGAACCATTACTTAAACCTGTATCTCGTTTTATTGTCAGAGATGAGCTGCACCTTAATTAATTAGCTCTTTGTATTTACAAAGGCTACTATCTGGTCATCAGGAGCCCAGACAACAATTTGTGGCAGTTCATCCAGTTCCATCTCTTCCTTCATCCAGATCAATGAAGCTATATTTTTATCACCTATAACCTGTCGGAGCAAATAATCTCAAAATAAGCAACCCGGAAGCTGGAAAAACACCTTGCAATCTAAACAACACAATAACACATTGAATTCTATGATCCAGTTATCTGAATTGAGTCTTCTTTTTCTTGAGGACCCATGAGATCAATCCCACTAGCTTTTATGAGAGGCTTAGGCACTGGACAGGACTTTTGTATGTCATTAAAATCATGTTAGGATCTAAATTACATCATAGGATTTCAGTTCCTGTTAGACACTTTGATTAAATATGTTAATTATTGGTTAGTGCAAAAGTAATAGTTATACAGTCACACAATCAAAGTGTCATACAACACAGAAACAGGCCCTTTGGCCCAACTCATCCATGCCAACCAAGTTTCCTAAACTGAAGTAGTCCCATATGCCTGAGTTTGACCCATGTCCCTCTAAACTTTTCCTACCTATTTACCTGTCCAAATGTTTTTTAGATGTTCTAATTTTACCCACCCATACCACTTCCTCTGGCAATCTGTTCCATATATGTGCCACCCTCAGTGTGAAAAAGTTGCCCCTCAGATCTCTTTTAAATCTTTCCCCTCTCACCTTAAAACTATGTCTTGTGGTTTTGGAATTCCCTACCCTGTGGAAAAGACCTTGGCTATTCACCTTATCTATGCCCGTCATGATTTTTACAAATCTCTCTAAGGTCACCCTGACACTCCAGGGATAAAGGTCACAGCCTATCTGGCCTCTCCTTATAACTCAAATCTTCCAGTCTCAGTATTGGGACAACAGGGCCTGATTTTCATGCCTCTGTGTCATAACAGCTTAGAAATGGCAAATGGGACACCATTTGTAGATTCACACCCTTATTGCGATTTCTGGAAATTCTTACCAGTGCAGCATACGGGTGTGGGTCATGAGTCCATGCACAGCACTCCTTATCTTACCAGCTCCATTGCAGCAGTATACCTTTCAAATCCCCACTACATGCATTGAGTTTGATATGACATGTTTTATAACACCTCAGCAGAGTTGTGGACCATGGAGGAACACTAGTCTTGAGTTGAGAACAGAAATAAAATTAGGATTCACTATTATCAATGCTTGCTTGGGCTCCAAGAGTGGACAATGGACTCAGCTCAGCAGAGGCCTGTTTACACAGTTTAACGGGGAATGCAAGTTTTGTGCAAAAGACAGCTTTATTTCTTTGTAGTAACCTGATGAGTTACTTCAATCCCTGTGCATTTATTTAAACAAAATTAAGAGGTGTGAAGTTGATTGAAAGTTTCATTGGTTGAACTTTCACTGCTGGTGTTTGACAATTTTGTGGAAAGTTAAGTGGGGTCATGTTTCTGAAAGGGAATGTTGAATGGCTTTTTCATGATCATTTTAAAAACATGTGGTTTTGTACCTAGTGCATACCAGGTGAGTAGGCATGGAGAGAGCATGGTCGCATTGAGGGAATGTGGGAGAAAGAAGAGGCACAGAGGAGATAAAAACTTACATATGTGGGGTGTATGGAGAGAGAATGGGAAATGGGGGAATGGGGCATGGGAGATATGAGAGGGATTTGAAAGCAGCATGGTGGTAAGGTAGGAGTGTAAGGGGAGGCCTGGAGGGTGTGGCAAACATGAATGCATCTAGGCTGTTGTTCCCAGCAAAGAGAGGCAGGATTTCTAACCTGCTTGCCTCGCCATCTCCATGCCTTCATTGCCAGCTCAAACTTGTGTTTGGAGGTGGGAGTCTCATCTCCAGCCCATATCTAATTCCCCAACACACAAAGTGAGGTGGGGGTGGGTGTTGGTGGGGCAGACCTCTCCAAGATGAAGAAACCGTTATATGGTCAGGAAAATGTCTGCATTTCTGTTAAATATCTTGACATAATTCACTCAATAAGTGGGGTTCAAAATTATCCCCAAATAGTTTCATGACTGAGATGAGTCATACTGGCTTCCAACTTTTCTGCTATAGTACTTCTGTTCCCTTCTCTAAAATTGTCAGTCATAGCTTAATATTTTATCTTTAACCATCTCCAGCGTTTGTGATGCTGGAGAAAAGTGATAGTGTAATGCCATGCCTAGATTGCCTCAATGTAAGCAGAAGTTGGATATTTTGATAAAAGCAAAATATTCCAGCTGCTGGAAATTTGAAATAAAAATATAAAGTTGGAGAAACCAAGGATGTCTGGTAGCATCTCTGGAGAGAGAAGCAGAGTTAATGTTTCAAGTCCAAAGATTCTTCTTTGGAACTGAAGACAGATATTTAAATGTTTAGATATTTAATATTTAGATATTTTGATCCTTCAAACATCAGTCTTCCTTATTTTGACTCTGTCCATTGTGAAGAAGTGAACATTAGCCATGTCAGTTTCTAAGTGTCTTGAGGTATTTCTTATTGTAGTCATTTACGGTCACATTTACCAACAATGTGTGTTTTCTCAGACTTATATTTAGCTTCTAAGTTTATTTATAAAATATTTAATTGACTCAGTGAGCTTAACCTTGCCTTGAATTTTTTTTAATTTGTGACATGTGAGCTTTGCTGGAGAGACGGGCATTTATCTTTTTTTCCTGAATGGCATTCAGAAGGTGGTGATGAACTGTACACCCAAAGTGTTAGCTGTTCAGGAGAGAGTTCCAGGATTTTGTAATGGCAGCAGTAAAGGAGCAGCGATATAGGTCCAAGTCCAACTTCTGTGTCATTTTGAGGCGAACTTAGAGATAATGATACTCATCTGCTGCATCTATTTTTCTAAGTGATAGAGATTGCAGATAGATGATGCTGTCCAAAGAGGCTTGGAGAGTTGCTGTCATCATTTTTTAGTTAGTGCACAACTACTGCCCTTGTGCAACATTGGTGGAGGGTCAAACTTAAACCTAGATCATAGAGATACAACTTGCATAATCTTTTTTGCAAAGGTTAGGAGATATTCTTAATAAAGGTACAGTGGCAGAAAGAATAAAAAAGTTTAGTTGGCAGGTATAACTAAAGATTGCTCCCTCCTCAATCCCTGGCATCTATGTTGGGGCTTTTGATTTCAACTTCAAAGAACTATCAAAATTTGCTGATAGTACAAACTAAGGAATATGGCAACTATGAGGAAGAACACAGTACACTGCAGGAGAACATGGACAAACTCAGTGAGTGGGTAGAATTATACAAATGGATAACTATGGTATGGTACATTTTGCCAGAAGGGCAGAAATTTAACAAGATATTTGTAGTGATTGGAAACAGCTGGATCTTGTTGACTACAAAATCCTTGATTGGAGCTGTTTACCTGGGCCAATCAGGAAAGCCCTGGCTGACCAATACAAACAGGAGATTTAGAATCTCCTCAGTGCAGAGGTCTGACTCTGAGCTGGCTGGCCAGCGTATTGTGCACAGGTAAATAAAAGATGACTTGGTGACCGGATACTAGCCTCTGTGCAGTTATTTCAATATCAGAACAGCTTCTTGGTGTTGTTTTATATCTCATGCCTTCAATGAGCTTCCCCATGGTGTCAATGCATTTATTCATAGACATTTACAGCAGAAAAAAACTATTTGGCCCACTATGTTAGCAGCGGTCAACAGATCTGACAGCACTTAATCCCATTTTTCAACTCTTCAGCTCATAGCCCTGGAGGCTATGATGATGTGAGTGAATATCTAAATAATACTTAAATGTTACAGAAGTTTCCGATGCACCCTGCCTTTTAGGCATTGAATTCTGGATTTCTACTGCCACGTGACATTTATTAGAGAGTCTATTATAAGAGTTTAGTTGGAACTACTGTACCATAAACTGTGTACATTAAAATTGTACTGTTGTGTTTGATCTCATCTAGAACAGAACTGTCCGAGCCTTGATATTATTTGAAATAGAACATAGAACAGTACTGCACAGTATAGGCCCTTCGGCCCACGATGTTTTGTCAACCTACTATCCTACTCTAAGATCAAAACTAACCTGCATACCCTTCATTTTACTATCATCTATGTGCCTATCCAAGAGTCGCTTAAATATCCCTAAATGAATGGAAAAAGTATGGAGGTAAGTTCTGTGAACCTGTTTGAAATCCCTGCCAGATGTTCTTTTATGCATCCCCACAGGTGATGCTCAACATCCAGATTTTAAAGCCCAATTATTTCACCTATGTTGCTCAAATTAATAGATATGGACAGTTGCAGGATTTATAAGCAAGCAAATTTTAATGCTTTGTTTTAAAGCAAGTAGGTTGTAATGGAAGTTCCTGTAGGTAGACAACTTACAGATAAATGATGTTAAATGTTTGTTTCATCAAGATTTCAGAATGGCAGTGCGTATGTAGTGTGCCACGATTAACAAAATGGGGCCAGCTATTTGAAGTTACAATCTTATTATCTCTGTAAGACAGCAGAGATTACTTTTATTGGTAAAAGGAATGACATGAGGTACAAATATTTAAAGTATCGGAAATGAAACAAAGATCAATACTGAATGTTGTGTTATGTACGTGAGGTTTGCTGAAGATGTCCACATCCCTGAGTAAGTCACAGCGGAGAGTCATCCACACTGTAGGAGGTCATCCATTCCCCATTTTTCAAAAATCATATTCAGGGCCACAAAAAAATGGAATTCATAATGCGTTCTGAAAAGTTTGGGTTAAGAAACATAAGCTGGACTTAAACCAGCTATCATTTTTTGCGACAATTCTAAAATAATTGAGATTTGTTGCCAGCAAAATAAAATACTTTCATGGACACTACAATATCCACTATAACTTAAAAATGGGAAATTATATATGAGTGATTATTAATTTCTGTGATCCTGATATGAAAACAATAAAATTATTCCCATGGCTGTCTAAAAGCATGATTTATTTTAGTTTATAAACTCAAAGCAACCCCTTTTGTACCATTGTTGGTCCTTCACACGGCGCATGGACTGAATCAAAGGCTGTTGAGCACCCCATTCATTCCAGTGTTTGTATGATCCACATTCTAGCACGTATTGATATCCCCTGTAGCCTGGATATTCATAGCCAACCCACCTACAAAATACAAAAAAAAATCAGAGGGTAAATCTGCAATTATATTCCCAAGTAATTACTCCAAAACCTTAATTACCATTATTTCCTGTATAGATTAGCTAATATACAACCACTGCATCAATTGTATTCATATATATGTATTTGATGATAACTGTGCTTAAGAGTTGATAAGAAACTAAAGAAAAGTCAATGGTGGAAAAGCCAGTATTGATGTGGCTAGCTTTCAAATTGGTGCAGCTAAATTAATTGTATTTTTGCACCTTTACAATGTTGTGAATTGCATAAACAAGGAACAAGAGTACACCATTCTGTCCTTCAAGCCTGATGTACCATCGAGATGATGATTGTTAATGTGATTTAAACCTCAACACTACATTCCTGCATACTTTCAGCCTGTTAGTAATCAAGAATCTATCCATCTCTGCCTTATAAATACTGAAATATTCTGCATTTACTGGAGGGGAATTCCAAAGACTTATACCCCTCTGAGAGAAAAGGTATTTCCTCAACTCTTCATTAAATGGGTGACCTCTTATCTTTAAGATATGATCCCTAGTTCTAGATTCTCCCACAAAAGGAAACATCCTTTTCACATCCAACCAGTCAAGTCCCCTCAGGATCTTCTCTTTCAATTAACTCACCTCTGACTCTTCTAAACTCCAAAGGATACAGCTCTGGATTGTTGAGCCTTTCTTTATCAGGCAATCCATCCATTTCAGCTATTAGTCTAGTAAACGTTCTCTGAACACATTAATATCCTTTCCTAAGTATTGTACACAGTTTTCCAGATACAGTCTCACTAATGTCTTGTATAGCAGAGGCAAAACCTCCCCACTCTTGCATTTAATTCGCCTCAGATTAAAACATAACATTCTACTGGCTTTCCTGATAACTTCACGTATTTGCATTGTAACCTACTGCAATTCAAATGCTAGAACACCCAGAAATCTTTGCATCTCAGAGCTGTGCAAATGCTCACAATTTAGATATTGTGCTTCCTTTTTATTTCTCTGCCAAAATGGACAACTTCCCACTCACCCACATTGTACTCCATTCTCCAAATCTTTGTCAACTCAATTAACCTATCACTATCCCTTTGTATGCTCCTTATTTTTTAATAAAGAGTAAGGGGGTGGGGTAAGCCATTAGAAAAGAGATGAGGAAGAATTTCTTCACTCTCAGATTTGTGAACCTGTGACGTTCTCTCCCACAGGGAGCTGTTGGGGACAGTTCATTAGACGTATTCAAGAGAGGAGCTGGACGTGGCCCTGGTGGCTAAAGGCATCAAGGGGTATGGCGAGAGGGCGGAAATGAGCTACTGAGATTGCATGATCAGCCATAATCGTATTGAATGGTGGTGCAGGCTCAATAGGCTGAATGCCCTACTCCTGAACTTATTTTCTATGTTTCTTCACAGCTTGTTCTCCTAACCAACTTTGAGCCATCAGCAACTTTAGCTACCATACCTTCGATACCTTCATTCAAGTCATTGATATAAATTATAAACAGCTGAGACCCCTGCGCCAACTCTTGTGGCAAATGATGCATGGAATCCTACCAGTCCAAAAAGGACGTACTTAATTCGACTCTCTGTTTCCTGTTAGCTACCCAAACTTATGTACATACCAATATGCTATCCCTACACCATGAGTATTTAATTTCCACAATAACCTTTGATATCGTACCTTATCAAATGCCTTCTGGAAATCTAAGCATAATACATTCACTGGTTTCCCTTTATCCACAGTGCAAGTTATTTCTTCAAAGAACTCAAATTAATTAAAATAATTTCCCTTTGACAAAACCATGCCTCTGCCTGACAACCTTGAATTTACCAAAGCAACTTGTTATAATATCTTTAATTACAGTTTCTCACGTTTTTCCTATGACAGACGTAAGGCTAATAGGTTTGTAGTTATGTGGTTTCTGCCTCCCTCCCTTTTTGAATAAAAGGGTTAAAGATTTCCAATCCAAAGGAACCTTCCCTGAATCTAATGGGTTTCTGAAAAATTAAAACTACTGCATCAATTATCTCATTAGCCAACTTGTAAAGACTATTCTGAGTATCGTTTTCCTGCTTAAATTAATATTTCATGAGCTGTTTGAATGATCATCATCAAACCATAGTTCAATATACTCCCTTATAAAATATTGCAGTTTTTAAAATAGAAATAGGAATGGAATATTTCACTATATTAATATCAGCATTATTTCTCCACATTAATCTTTCAACCCGTCAGCTGTTACTGTCCCACGAGTTTTCTCTGTCAAACAAAATTTTTGTCGTTAACCTACTTTATCCTTAAAGGTTCTTGCATTCATTCTCAATCCCTCAAGATATTACTTCATCTTATTTCATTGACCTTCACCAGTTATGTGTCCCAATCTATTTGTCCCTTCATTTAATTATAAGTAGCAAATCTTTCAGTCACTTTGAATGATTAATCTTTTGAAGTCAATGCCAAAAATCCAACTTGCCTTGCAATTTCCCCATCTTTCATGAACCTCTTTGTACATGCTTTTGTTTCCTTCCCACATCCTTCATGTTTCCTGTTTTGAAACTTCATAGTTTTCTCTTGGGCAGTGATCTGAGCTATTATTCCATACGATATATAAATACAAGTTGTTTGATAAAACTGATACTGCAGTCTGATTTCTTTAAGATTCAAAGGTTATCTTTTATCTCCAAATAGAAAATACAATTTCAAAAAAAAAAGGAAAGGAATGTTACTCACGTTCCACCAATTACTTTAATACTGGCAACTCTGTCCTGGAAACCATAAGCCCAGAGACTGGGAATGTCCTCATCGCAGATCTCCATTTTTCTTCCATCAAAGTTAGCACATTCATGAAGGCAAATTTTATGGTCCTGCCCATCCTATAATGATTCGGCAGTTTTAGGAATTGTATGTGATGATTCCACTGCACTATTTACCAAAATGAAACCTTTTTCCTGGCTTCATTTGAATTAAATCTTAAACATTATGTGCAAAGAATCTCAAGGAGATCTCTCATGCTTATGCCATATTGTCCATTAGTAGCAATGATTCCTCCCTGGCTGGGTTTTTAACATATTGACAGAAATAAATCTTGTACACACAATATTTGCAGTATATAGAGAATGAATACAGTACAGTAAAAGCTCCATCTCTTCCACATTTTCAGTCCTCACCAGCACTTTCTCAAGAGCAACTGGGATGAGCAATAAATGTGGGCCCAGCCAGCAATACTCAATTCCTATAAATGAATAACAAAGGTTAAATCCTCCATAATTATGATTCTATGTTTTTCACTTATTTCATTTATTTTTCTATGTATTTTTCCCTTAGCATACGTTCTCTAATTTAGTGGTCTGAAGTATATTAATAATTAATCTAATTCCCACCTCACCGGAAGTGTGGGCCCCCTGAGGTTAAACCACCACCATCCAAATCCATTTGGATTTTCTTTCCATCTCTTTGCTGGCTTGTTACCTTCATATTGAGCTGGATTTTTCCACTAAGTGCCAGAAACTTAATATTGTAATCACTGCCCCCCAGGTCCCAAGCCATCGCGTTTTGCTGGCTTAACTTCACAGGAAGTGGCTAACTGATAGGCTGCCACTGGATTTGCCATCCAATTAGTGGCAGTAGACAGGACATGGATGCAGATGGGCTACTTGAAGAATCAGCTAGCAGCCCCACTAGGAAAGGTAAGGGCTACTCAGGCAGTCAGAGAGGAAGCTGGCAACACATGGTAAAGGTGTTAACCCAATTGCCTGAACAGTATGCAAAAAAAGACTATCAGGAACTATCAGTTTCCAGAAAAAAGAATATCCAATGAATGCATTTGGCTGTAAATGCACTGTATACAATCTTTCCACTCCTTCATTTTAGGACTGCTCGACTCCTTTATACAGAAATGTGCAACATCAAATGATGGCACTCAATCCTCCAAGTTTGAAGATGTCCCAGTACATTGCCAGGCTCATGTTTGTAAAATTTAATTGAAGCATAAAATTAGGGATGATTTACCCTTTAAATGCTTTCATTGATTACTGTATCCATTCAATGCATTCACTGCTGTGCATTAAAGAATATGGTTAAAGCTGCAAACGGGATCACTACTGGTGTTATTTAAAGGTCCAGATATCCAACTTGCAGGAAAAAAACATTCAAGCAACTTCTGGCATTGCAAAACAGCTGGAATTATTGTAGTAAAAACAAAGAACTGTGAACGCTGGGAATCAGAAACAAAAACAGAAAATGCCGGAGAAACTCAGCAGTTCTGACAGTACATGTAGAGATTAAAACAGAGTTAAGGTTTCTAGTCTGGAGACCCTTCATCAGAATGTTTCTGACTTGGAAGGCAGCTCAGTGGTCCCTGTCCACCTGGTTTGCTGATCAGAAAGTTGTTTCTCCACCTTCCCTCTCGAGATACTTTCACTGATTTGTAGAAGCCACAGGGTGACTGGTTCATGCTTATAAAGATCTCTGACTTATTAATTAAATGTCACAGCTTACGCAACAGATGAGGAGAAATAACTGGCTGTCATTAGGTTTGAGATGCTTTTTAATGTAGAGCAACAACAGCTCTTTCCCTTCCAGGAATGTGATGAGTCTGACCCAAATATTCCCAAACCCCAGCTGTTCAGCTGCCTAGGGGTCAATCACAGTTGTTGGAAGGCAGGTGGCTTTTATTATCAACTGGTCACCATTTCACAGACTAATCAGCTACTCATTGCTAACCAAATCTCCATTTGTACATAATCCCATGGTTCCAGCTTTTATATAACAGGGTTTTCCCCACTGTTTGAACCAACAACTGTATAAACAACACTTACAATGAGGGGCAGATAACTTGCTTTGAAAAACAGTTGTAATCTTTCAGAAATCCTAGGCTTTTGAATCAGTCCTTTTCCCATTTCAGCCAACAACCAAGAATATAGAAAAATGAAAAGAAGAAATGATCTTTACAGTGAGGGGGCACCACTAAGTTTGTGTGCTGCCCTCAATTCATTGGGCATGGGCAGATTAAAAGCTACTATCCCCATGCCCAAAAATAGGCCATATGTAATTCTTATCCACTTTTTTATGAAATTCTTTATAGATGTGTAATAGGAAGTCTTGCAATAAATCTTACCATTCTAACAGGTCTGAAAGACATCATACAGTCAGTGCGATAACTATTGGACCAGGAGTCCCAACGAGGATATTCTCCTTTCTCCAGCATGAACATCTCACCACAGAAGTTCTGCTGTTCAAAACCCACCCACCTGATAAATAAATGATTGCAACAAAATCAAGTTTGTCTTTGTATGTTACACAATTAAACTAATTTAATATCAAGGATAATGCTTTGTAAAACAACATGTTGAAAGCTTCAAGTGGAAAAAATTAGAAATATATAATTTGTCATTAGTCACTGAATCTTGAATATACTCGCTGACTAATCGTCACCATTGCAGAATTACAATGAGTCACCAGGTTCTGTGTTTCATAACGTAGATAATATGTGTCCCACAACTTGGAAGCTAAGGTATATAATGTACTACTGCACAAATATCCTTCTGATGCTCAATGTGGTAAAGCAGAAACAACTTTTGACCAGCTGCCAGAGGGTTACTGCTCCCTGGGCAACCATACTGTTGTATAAATTAATAACAATTGTAGGAAGTAGTATTACTTATTTATATGTATGCAAATCAAAATATAACTGTCTCATCTCCAAATTTGTAGTTTGATAATAGTTAAATGTAAGGGGTGTATTGGGCACTCCTTATTTGAAGATCACCATTCTGTGACATATGTTACACCCTCAAAATGTGAGATAGAGCTTCAGAAGATAAGTGTGTCAGCATAAATTCATTGTAAAGGAAATATGTCTCATCCTGACTTACTATTGACTCAATACCAATGAGTTGAAACATAAGTATTCAGGGCCCTGATGTTTAAACAAAAGGAACTGTGTCCACCTGCAAAAGCTGGGAGAAACACCAATGCATCAGAAAGGTTAACATATAGCTGCACGGCAGAACACACGATTCAATTCTGAAAGGAAGCACTTACGGTCCACATTCAACACGGATGGACCCCACTTTATCGAAGCCCTGATCGCAGATGTTTCTGCACTCTGTATTGATATCCATTCTGCGACCTTGGAAGCTTTCATACTCATAAATGATCATCTAAGAACAAAAATGGCACAAAAGAATCTCAATTACCATTTTATAATTGAACTGTTAAAAATGAAGCATAAATCATGCACTTAAAACCTTAATTTGTATTATTAATTTCAAAAATGTATTCCATGAACAGCAATGATAATGGTTCACTGGGTATATGAATGGTTTGTGTGCCACTGAGATATGGAGCAGCAAGGTCTTACATTCAACATCCAGTATGTACCAAGTTAGTTCAGATATCAATACTTGGGTAAATGGGTAGTAATGAAGTAGACAGAATTCCCACTCTGTCTTATTGTCAGATGACTGCTGCTCACATGTAGACACCATTAAGGTCAGGATTGGTTTTGACTGCAATTTACGTTTAAATTCTAATCCATGCTGTCTCAGAACACCAATGAAGGATAGTCACCTGTGATCACTTGAGCAATAAAGAATGGGCTTGCTCATAGGGCTATTTTGGTATAGTGGTAGTGCCCCTGCCTCTGAGTCAGGAGGCCTAAGTTCAAGTCCCAGCGGCTCCAGGGGTGTATAATAGCATCTCTAAACAGGTTGATTAGAATATACCTTGGCTTGCTCCTCCCCAAACATTTATATTCAAAAAGAGGGAAGTTAAAACTATGATATTTTACTCTATGCCTATTTCAAACTGTAACAATTTACAGGAAGTTAAAGTCTGGCAAAATTATTTTAAGGCAAATGAATATTTCACTGTTTCCTAAATAGGATGATACAGTAAGTGCAATGTAAAATACTTCAAAATAATAATGCTTATTGATTGTTAAGACCTCATTGTGTGTGCTATGGAGTCTCAGTCCATAAGTAGACTGACCCTGGATCACACCTATAGCAAACTTTCCAATGACAAGCCACAAGTTAGCTCACATTAAGATACTTCTATAAGCAGGAACTGTTACTTAATGATAAATCCTCATTTGCAATAAACTGCACCTACTCTAATATTATTAATAGATCATTTATAACATTGAAATCAAAACCCACCAATACACCTACCCTGTTAGTGCGAAGACTTGAAGCAGAATGGCTTCCAATGCTACCCTGCGTTCCAGTGTGAGACATTGTGGCAGCTGCTAAAACAATAATCGAGATATGACAAACTTATTTTGCCCTAGTTGCTAAATAGTTTTATACATATTTGATTAACTTGATATTTCCTAAACTTTCATATTTTATGAAGTTTTCACGACAGTTCACAAGTTTAAATTTTTGAAAGTACTGCAATGGCTCACCCAGATACAGTTCAATCTTTTGCCAGACAAGAGAGAATATGTAAAGTGATGCTTAAACCTCAGTTCATCCTATTTATATATCCAGTGGATTTGCTTGTTGCATTTTTTTCTTTTCAAGCAGGTTAAATCATAAAGGGATAAACAAAACAAAATGTCATTATATTGAAGCAGCAGAAGCTGATTCCAGCTCTTTGCTTTGTTTCATTGGCAACACCATACAAATCAGCAAAAACTACAGTCTACAGTAGACACAAGTGCAGCCGAGAACAAAGAGTTGACCCGTAGACAGCTTTGTACAGCTTTTGTTAAATTTACGCTGCAAGAACATAAGCAGATACTGTGGAGAATATGTATTGTTCTAACTAACACATTTCATCTTACAAATTGCAGTGCCTTCATTATTCAAGATCTGTAACCAGAATTGTAAATGTGGGAGTAGGATGATGTCAAGCCTGCATCCTCTGGTCAGAGATGGACTATGCATTGCTGGGGTCTGTATCCAAAAACATTCAGGGCCCCTTTCACATATTTGCAATCCATTAAAACACAAGTATGAATTGCAACAGCGAGTATTTGTCTTTATTTTCTAATCAGAGAATTCAACTCTGAAACCACCTTAGTCACATGTCTGACTGTATTGTTAAATGCTCGAATGGTTGTATGCGGTTTTTCTGTGTTAACTGTGAGTTATTTGGAAGTTCTAGCATGCTGGGGCCACTCTGGGCATGAACTTTTTTAGCAAATAGAGGGTAAGCATTTAGAAGATTGAAAGTGCAGCTGAATGTAACGTGAATTTTTTTTGACCCGCTGGATTCCTGAATGATTCTTTGCTCGGGCGCAATTTACAGTTCTATAAATATCAGTCCTCCCCTGGCATTTTGCTTCCCCTTTATATACAGTAGTCTTATCACCAAATCATGTATTAGTCTCCCCCCACAATCCCCACCCGCTACTCTGCTGGTATATTCTCCCCATCTCCATCTAGTTCAAGACACCAGCCTCTCTTTATCTCAACTGTGTACCCAGTCCCACTCTCAGTTTCCTCTGCACTAAATAACTCTTCATTCTTGCTTCTTTCAATGTCATCCAAACTTGCTTGCTCTCTCACTGACCTCTAAATTCTCTCTCTATATAATTCTACATTTTTTCATAGCCACCCTTTCAAAATTGTTATAAGACATAGCTTCTCTACTTCTGTCATCACAGTAACAACCAAACTTCCCTGACCCCTTCATCAGACACACAGATCCATTTTCCACCTTCTGACCTCTTTTCCTTCTGTATCTGCACTGGAAAAAAAAAGGTTCAGCTGCACTTTCAAATTTCCAAATGCTTACTCTCTATTTGCCAAAATGGCTCAATATAATTTGTTTCTTTCAAGGAACTTGTCAATAATTTTTTCAAAGATATTTTTTGATTTTCAGGGGTTACTTTTTAGTTTTCAAGGACTCCTGTTTTGATTCTCAGTAACTGTTTCATTTTGTGACAAATTCACGTAGTCATATTATTTTCCCTAGTTGTGTTTAATTTTTTGGAGCTTCCTTCCTTAAACAGATAAGATAGCTCAAATATCAAAGACTGTACATTTGTGTGTATTTTAAAGGTGTATATTATTACACATTTTATTTATTATGCAGTTGGATCCAGATTCAATGGGAACAGATACAACAGTGAAGTTTACGAGGCATTTAGACAGACACATGAACAGGCAGAGAATAGAGAGATACGGACCATGTGCAGGCAGATGGGATTAGTTTAGACTAGTATCTTGGTTGGCATAGACATGGTGTTCCCGCGTTGTGATGTTCTATGTTCTGTTCTATGTTCTATGCGCCTTCAAAAGGATATGGTATAAATATTTTAAGGGAAATTTTTTGTACAATTATGGAAAAGAGCAGGAGACTAGAACCAATTGGAAACTCTTTTATATCATTGTCATGATGAGCCAAGTATTCTCCTTCTGTGCTGTAGAATTATATGAAGTAGTTACATTTGGTCTAGTTTAAAATGCTACTTTTAAAAATGTCTATGACGTACAAAATGCAATCAGTTTGGTTGACTTTCTCAGCAGCACAGCAACACCATGTAACTTTTACCTTTGGCTATGTCAGTGAGATTCAGACATGATGTGTAGAGACTCACTTTTATAGATTATTTCTAGTGGCAGGACATCTGTCTTTAAAAGTAACTTTCCATGCAATAGTTTTGGTTAAAAATGGTGACTCATGCTAGGTTCTGAAGAACCATGTGTGTGGCTGAAAGGCTAGATTATTGATTGTTCATTTTACTTGTAATTGTAGCCTCCACAGAGAAAGAGGGTCAAAGACCTAAGGATCCAGATATTGTCTCAATGCTTAAAGACACAACCTGCTCCTTCAAACATTCCTAGGAATCCTTTATCATCGAATATGTGATAGAGGCTTCTGAGGATATGAAAAGCCTCACAGAGACCATAGCCATCATTGTCAACACTCTAGGATTGGTCTGGAATCTCCAGAGATTTGAAAATCAATATCCAGACCACTGTTATGTTCAACATGGAACAATATCATTGGGCATTGAATTTTTTTTTGTGATTTTCTTTGGATATACTCTTTACCAATTACAAAACTATCAACAGTGGGAAAGTTTGACTGACAGTCAAGCATTGTTCAACTGGGTCATGAAAGATTGTGCTTTCCAATTAGCTGATAAAGGCGATGCATCACAAGATGTGTGTCTTGAAAACTACTAACTGGAACATGAGTCAAGTCATGTGATTAAATTTCCAGCAATACACTTAATCACAGTTGGCAACCCTATTGTCAATCGACAGGCCAGAGACATACTATAACCTACCAGCTCCATCTATATGAGGTCAGCATGTTCAATTTAGATAACTTGCACTGTTCCAACAGGAATCACTTTTCATATTTTACCCACATGTTGCCATCAATACAGGGTCTCTTCCAACTGGTGGTTTTCAATTTTTGCTCATTTAAATCCAAGGGGCTAAGACTTTAGTATATCCATACACAACTAGTTTAACTATCCATTGTAAGATTTAATTGGATCATGTCAGCATTACAAGCCCCACTCTCCCTGCCTAATGATTTATTACTTAAGGTTCATTCTGACCAACAAAGATGATCTTCACTCTCTTCTCTGCCACTCCTCACCTACCTCCAGTAACAGAGTTTTAGACTTGTTTATCACTACGATTTAAGCCATCCATCCAACTGCTTCTTCCATATCATATTACAACACCCAACCCCCTCAACTTCACCGTCAAATAAACTACTGCCTTGTCTCAACCTTCTTGCTGAAGGCCCTAAACATGTTACATCTCCTGAACTCAAGCACCAACTCTCCAATCAGATTTTTATCCATATTACTGCCCTGAAACTGTCCTAAGTTACAAATGATGTCTTATGCAAATAGGGTGCACAATCTCACCTCATCCTTTCCAGTTTCTCTCTAACTGCTGAGACTGTTGACTGCCGCATCATCCAGCTAAATGGAATCACGTTACTTTGTTTAGCTCTTAGTTATCTAATTGCAGGCAGTGCAACTCAAAATTTTTCAACCTCTGCACCATTACCTTTAGAGGCCTTCAAGGAACAGGTGTTGGGGCTACTCTAGTTCCTCAAGATTCTGCTCCCATGCAACATCATGTGAAGATATGGAGTTGGATTTTGCACTCACGCTGGTGATTTACAGCTCAGCCTTTTTCATTATTGCCTTTGTGTTGTCAGGCAGAAGCTGCTCTGGGCCCAGGTTTCCGGCCCACCTCAGCATAATGGCAGTGGACCCTGGGCATTGATTCCTCCCCACTCACCAGCTATTATCTCAAGTCCAGTCAGACTGTCCACAATTTCAGGGTCCTTTTTGACCCAGAGCTGAACTTCTAATCTCATCTTCTTACAATCACAAACACAACTGATTTTCATGTTCATAACATTGGCTATCTCAGTCCCTGCTATTGTGCATCTGCTGCCAAAGCTCTATTACACACTTCTGTCACATCTAAACTCATCTATTCCAATGCCCTTGCTAGTTCTCTTCCTCCACACTTGGTACACTTCAACTCATACAAACCTCTGCTGTCTATAATCTGCTCTGCATCAGGTCCCATTCATCCATTATTCTCCCACTCTCTGACTTCCATTAAGCTAATGGTATCCCAAAGCCACAAATTTTAAATTCCGATCCTTGAGTTCAACATTTTCAAAACCTCAACATTCCTTATTTTTTATTGTTACTTTTTTTTACTGTTTATTATTACTAATTATGCATGTTATATTTGTATTGGAAATTTGTAGAATGGTTGAAGAGCACAACTGTCTCACTCATGTTCAAGGGATAAAGAGTTGTCATGTCCACCTGTACCTGCTGCTAATATATGAAGATATGTTTGAGGAGAGTCCACAGCCTGAGTAGAATGAACAGAAAGGGCCTTTGTAGTACAGTGGCAATGTCCCTACCTCTGGATCAGCAAACTTGAGTTCAAAACCCCTATTCCAGAGGTGTGTAATAACATCTCTGAACAAGTTGATTAAAAATATCTACAAGGAACAGATAATGAACAGGCAATATATCATCAGCCTTTTTCGCATGGTTTTGGAATGAAGGTCTCCAGCATTATACAGAAAAAAAAGCAAGAGACTATCTCTTTATGGTTTATATTATATTAATCATATCAAATGAGTTAGCATTTACAGACAGGAATGAATATGTACTTAAGTGTCACAGTACTTATCTATACTATAGATGCAATTAAGTGGAAATTAAATAAATACATGTAAAAGAAAAGGTTATGTTGATAGTATTAGATGAAGAAAGATGACAGCAGGCTCCTCTGG